CATGTACTATTGTAACATGAAAATTCTTATTCGACATGATAAACTTTCATTAAGAATTTTCATACGGTCATGTTCAGTGAACTTGTTCTCTACAAGCACATATATGTATTTGCGTCACACGCTAATGTTGATGGAATGCAACATTCTTATCTAACAAGCATATATACTATGTGCAAGTCTTTTCCAGATTTTTCGATATCCCATCTCAAAACATCCAACGACTTGGAACTGTATTTAAGATCACAGCTTTAAAGATATGTTCATGATCACCATCTCTATGCGCAACCATATCTTATAGCTATAAGTGATCTAGGGACTTTATATTAAGTGCAAATATATGATAAATATTATTTTAATACATCCACTAACAACTAATCATACTACTTTTTTCGAATTTAACTATAGTTAAAATACAAACCAAATAAAAATAGTTGAATCCATAAACAATCGCACTCTAACATTCTCCAATGCATACTTTTATTTATACATATATTTATTTTTTAAACAAACAAAATAAATTTATAAAATATTTCAAGGATAAACTATATCGATACATCAACAAAAGAAGATTTGGCAAATATTAAAATATTAATTACGACATGCGATTAATTATTTCACGTTAAAAAATTAGCTTTTATCTCCACATAATAAAATGATTAATAATGTAGTAGTTTAATTTTATAAAATTTTGAAACTGCAATTATTAAAACAAATATTAAAATTTTAGTTGCAACATATAGATTAATTATTTCAAATTTAAAAAAAAAAATCATCTATAAAAAAAATAATAATAATATTGGCAGCTTATTCTATATACATGTACAAATCATATTATTTTATTTAAAAGCAATACATCTTAAAAAATGTTAGACCCATCAAACCAGATAGGAATCGACAGGTCCAAAACGGAACTGGACTGTCGAATTCTTGAAATGGAATTGTTATATCTCGAGGAATTTGCACCCTCCATTTAAACAATTTAAAAATATTACATAATTACATCTTAGCTAAATTTGTTATATTTATTTGCATATATGCCTAAAAGCTAATTTCTTACTTACTTGGTAACTTCCAATCAACTATATATCTCTCCTCTCCCTCCATTTATCTCTCTTCTTCACACACGGCTCTTCTTTTCTCTTCTCACACAAAACCACCGCCACACCCACAGAGTTGATGGCTTGATGTTTGAGATTTATTTACATTACTACGGGAGATTTACAGATGAAGAAGCCCGGACATCGAGAAACCATTTGCCCCGATTTGCAGATGAAGAAGCCCGGAGATCGAGAAAAAAATAAATACATCTCGCGTTCGAAAATCCACCGGTAAGTCTCATCGTCAAACGGTCAATTCATCCCCTAATTCAGACGATTCTTGTCCGACCAGGCGATACATCTTCAAAAATTATGCGGAGACGCCGTAAATAAAAAAAGCTCAAATCAACTGAAAATGAGAGCTTGTATGCCCCCGACCCCCAAGGTGAAAGTGAATCTAAAGAAGATGATGCGGCCCTTTTTAAACCTGTTTACCCTTTCTTTTGTCTTTTTTTTTTGTTTTTTTTTTTCTTTAAACCACGTGAACATATGTAGTATATGTTCAGTATATTTGCAGTATATGTTTAGTATATGTACAATATATGTTTAATATATACTTTTTTTTTCTATCTGATCTAACGAAAAACTTCTCAGATGATAATTGTCGAACACTTTGTGTGCTTGATTTGTTGATAGATAGTTCTATTTATGTACATGTTGGGGTATATGTTGTGAGTATATATAGTATATTTTCGGTATATGTATCGATATGAAAATTTGTATATTTCAGGTATGAAAATTTACACGTTACGAATATATACCAAAGTTGCACAACACACATATACATAAAATATACGTACAATATGCATAAAATACACAATCGAGATTCACGTAATTCAAGTCCACAACACCACATATACATAAAATATACTTTAAATATACACTCGAGTTTCAATCGTTTCTCAAAATCAATTTCAAACCCCACATATACATAAAATATACCTAAGATATACACTTGAGATATTTTCACGAGCAGATCGTTTCTCACGCGCAGAACCTACATATACATAAAATATATCTAATATATACCTAAAATATATCTTTTTTTTTTCGTTCTGGTTCAAATTTGATGCTTTCCATGGTCAGTACGAAAATCTTGCGCAAAAAACATGGGATAGGATAGAGAAAGAGAAGTAACTGATTGTAGGTATGAATGCAAAAAATCCTTATCTATTAGGTATATTCCAATTAAAGTATTATTAAAGATAATATTGTAATTACTTAAAAATGGTAAGTATACATGAAAATTTCCCTTATATCTCCATGTTGGTTTCAGTTCAATGACTTATGAAACTTTGATCATTTGGGTTGGTCTGTTGCGTGTCTACACTAGGATTGAATTATGTTATTCCCTCATCACATCAATTTTAAAATCAATAACACTAATAAGTAATCATCCATATGAATTTTCTACATTATATTAAATTAACAATGAAAGAACTATAAATTTTTGAAATACAAAATCTATATAAAAAACAATATACTAAACATTAGATAGAAACCCAACTGTAACCATAGAACCGCTCACCTGCCCACGGTGGGCAGTGCCCACCACTTTTTTTTACATGAAAAACGTATTCCGAGAATACGTTTTTCAGTTAAATTTAACTGAAAAACGTATTCTCGGAATACGTTTTTCATGTAAAAAAAAGTGGTGGGCACTGCCCACCGTGGGCAGGTGAGCGGGACTAACTGTAACCATAATCAGAACAATCCTTTACCCCATTGTTTGATTCTCATCTGTATTCAAAATTCTTAAATTGGACATTGAAGAGAATTGAAAAAACTTTCCAATTCTCACATCCTAAAACATTCTATTAGTTATCAAAATAAGATGTAAGAAAATGCAGAAAGGGGAGTGCATGGCAGTTAGACACAAGTTAGTTGTCATAAAACTGTTCAAATTTATGACACATTATTCAGCATTAAGGCAAATTGGGTGATGAATTAACTCACCATCCATGGCTAATTTACAGTAACATTAACCCTTGAGTAAATTTTACAGCAGAGTAGGAAAAACAACAAGTACATCATCAAGTACCTCATCATAGTCTTTTTGTCTCAAACAAGTTGAGGTAGGCTAGAGATGAAACCCAAGAGAACCAATGGTAAGAGAAACACAAAAATGACTCAAAACAAAAGGAAGAGATTGGAGCAAAAGAGAAATGAGGAAAAGTCACGGTTCTAGCAAATTAGGGGAGAGCAATAATATTACTCTCCCCTGTGCTAACCGTTCTTCATTTTCTTTTTTTTACCATTAATGTCTATGGGTAGGACTGCAAACGAGCCGAGTCGAGTCGAGCGTTGGTTGTATCGAGCAGGATTGATTTTTTTTAGCTGCTCGAGCTCGAGCTCCTCGAGCTCGATTTTTTAGGGCTCGAGCTCGACTCGATATCAAAATGCACAAGCTCGGCTAGTGTTCGGCTAAAAAATTTTTAAGTGGAAAGATAAACTTACCATTAAGGACCTATGCTAACATATATATGGAGTATTTTAGTAATTTAAAATGTACTCGAGCCGCCCGACAAGCCGCTCGACAAGCAAAATATGGGCTCGAGTTCGTACTCGAGCTCGAGTCGAGCTTTGACTCGAGCCGCTCGGTTTATTTGCACATGGGCAGCGAAAAAACAGGCACACTACAGCACAAGCCACACCAGAAATGGGTCCCCAATATTATCCAAGCCACAACCACACAAACCACAACCACACAGAATTCTAGTTTCCCTGCATATATTTTGGTTAAAATTTGTCTATTTTCATTTCTTTGAAAAGACAATTAATAGTTGGGGCAAAAAAA